AGGCAAACTATAATGCAACCTGTAAATACGCGCCATAGCTCTTTTTTTACTCTACTCTCTAAGAAATGGAAAGAATTAGATCCAACATTATACTCATTAAAGGCGAAACCATTACGTAAAAAGCTGAAACAGAATGCTTTGGATTTGCGAAGCGAATCCCCTTTTAAAAAAAGCCTCATTTTTCCATCACGACAAGCTGAAATATTTTTTATGCGATTGAAATGTGTTAATCTCCAACTAAATGCCAATCTACACTCCAAAAGATGTGTTTCATCCCCTCTTTGTGCATGTCGAGGAGCTAACGAAACAGTAAAGCATTATTTATTAGATTGTTCAGAGTATGTTTTAGAAAGAACCGATCTGCTATCCGGTCTAAGCTTCTTGCCTTGTGTGTCGGTGACTAGTCTATTGGGAGTTCGTGGGAGATGTTTGGGTGAGAGTCAAGTTATTTTGAACGAGATATGCAGATATATACTACGGACAGTGCGATTCTGAGAAGTTTACGTTTCCTCTCGCTGCCAATACAAGTAGAACAGTAGAAGTGAATATCCAAAAATCCGAATGACCATCTCTTGCGTGAGCTTTCTCTTTCCCTTTTTCTTCCTTTCTCCTTTCAAGCTCATTATACGTTCTTTTTATACATTTTAAGGCACACATATGGCGAAAGCCGCTTGCGCAATCGTTCTTTTTTCTTTTTCAATAAAATGTTTATAATAAATATTGTTACTTCAGTTTCTTTCAGTCAACCAAGAGAAGAGAAGACTTATATAAATGGCGTTTACACTCAGGACCAGAATGCCCCCATAAAGACTGACCGTATAAATTCTACACACTCATGTCGAAGTACTAAACAAAGGTAGAAAAAATGAAAAAGAAGCAATGAAAAGTAACGAAAAGTAAAATGAAGTATGATATTGTTGTTAGACGTGGGCGAGACGGTCCCGATTCCGGCGGGACTGGAACTGGAACCAGGTACAAGAAAACTGGTTCCATAAAAGTAAAACTTTCGTTGCAGAATCAAATTCTAATGTGAGTTTCGAACTCGTTTTACTGTCAAAATTTTTTTTGCAAGGCCGTAGAAAGTTCTGCAACGCAGTACAATAGTAAAAAAAAGCATTGAACTTTCAGTCAGCAGGAGAAATTTTTTTCATGTTCTATGGCCAAAATTTTCATCGGAACCAAACAATTTTCTACGGAAACGGGACCAAAAAAGGCTGATTCCACCCGTCTCTAGTTGTTGTACGTATAGAAAAAGGGGAAGATGAAAGAAAACAACAATAATAATACTGGATGGATAAATAAAAAGAGATATAAGCTTGATATCTACGATTATCTATCTTTGAATGCTGTAATTCTTTGAATTTGTTTTCGATCTGGCATGTATCTGTGGTGAAGTAGAAACAACTGAACACTTCTGTCTCTTATGTAAGGTTTACCGTAAGACTCGTATTCAAGCCAGTAATACAATACGTTCAATCTTAGGTACATCATCGCCGTCGAATCTTAATAATAATTTTTTATCCTTGTGAGTTTTAGGAACAGGAGAATGCTGTACAGATATACAGAGCGATTATCAAACATACTAAAAGAGACTAACGGATTTAGTAGTTAATAATGTTCTTCTTTTATTTGAACGCGTTCTTGTTTACTTCACATTTGGTACTTTACATCAAATTAGTTCTCACACATAAACTCTACTTAGATATTTGCTTTCTCAATCTCGACTATTCTCAACTCATAGTCTGCCCTATTTCTCTCTACTTTGTTCGAGTTTGTATCAAAAACTCATTTTCTCTCTTATTTTTCAGCTATTTTTCACAGCAGTATACATCAAACTGATAAAAACAATCTTACAGATTGAGTCTTATATAGTAATTTCAATATAACTCCGAGATTCGCATTCTACCTAAAACGTTACATGACAGTTATAAGCAAAAGCATCAAGAATGAATGTACCAAAGGGGATAATACAAGAGTGTGACTCATATTATTTTGAACTATTTATGAGAAAAATGGAAGAATAACTGTATTTTTGGTGTTGGGAACTGAATAACACTTATTTATTTTCTAAAATTAAGAAAAGAACGTACAACTGGATATTAACACGTTTTTTCAACAGTTTATAACAACTGAAAGAAAAACGCACATTATCAACATTATCCAATCTGTTGATCCATGAACCATGGTTTCCCATTGGCTCTTGCCGTCAGAATATCACAGCCACTATCCGTAACAAGAAATGTATGTTCAAATTGAGCAGATAATTTACCATCTTCGGTTACCGCCGTCCAATCATCAGGCCACATCACATCACGCCATGTTCCTAAATACATAAACACAAACCAATAGAGTGCTGTGTCAGTGAAAATGATCCAAAAGATCTTTCAGATTCAACGATTTATTCTTAATGAGACGTAACAGTTTAATGTATTCTGTAACCTTCCGTATAATAGAAAAAAAGAAGGCAAAGAACTTCACAACGTTTATTACAGAATGCACGCAATGGACGTAGTCTGTGCTATTCACACTTAGGTGACATGTAGTTTTGTTTATTTACCCATATTGATCATAGGTTCTATCGAAAACGAATGACCAGGCTTCATGACGCCAATTGCTTTATTTTCTAAAATGAAAGTTTAGACAATAATTTGTATAAAAAATTAAATAAATTTTATTTCATAAATCACTTACTTGCATAATGTGGTATGTTTGGAGCACAATGAAATAATCTAAATGGAGTAAAGTGTTTAATTTGAATAAAAGAAAACGAATTTATTTGACTCGTATATTAAGTATCTCATTAACTTTTGAACTGATTTTCATCAGATTTGGGAGCTTTTATAACTGAAAGTTTTAGCTATTTAACAATCTAAGAGTTATTCCAAAACTTTCAAAGAAGATGAATGAGGGAGTTGACTAATTGTCTTGTAAACCCCCCCATATTAGAAGCCCCCTCTGGAGCAATCGATGTGGAAGGTGTATTAGAAGCCCAGGGGCTTCTATTACGTCGGGAAAATAATTTAAATTTTTTAAACAACATATTTGATCGACACGCGTTTTTTTACTTTGATTGTTCTTGTGTGATGTCGTGTGTAAAAAAAGGCAATGAATAAAATTTACATTTTTTATCTCGAAAAAGATTTTTTCAGATTAATTGAGATTACCGTGATTAGAAAGGTAAGAGAGCATCGAAATTCAAAACCCCCTTTTTTTTCTGAAAATTTTTGCACGAAAGTCGTAATAGTAGCCCCTTCATAATACAAGCCCCCCTAAAAATTTTGAACGCTTGGACAGTTTAGAAGCCCCGGAGGCTTCTATTATGGGGGGGGGGTTATGTCATAAATGAATTTTGAGATTGAGTAACAAAAAATGGAAATTATATAATCTCCAAGTGATAGTTAAACATTCGCTGTGAATAATTTTTTTAATCTGCACAACAAGTTATTTACAGATTTAGAAACGATAAAGATTGCGGTGCCTCTGGCACTTAAAAGTGCTAGTTTGCAGAGACTCTATAGTAGTCCATACACACATAGATTGTTTTGTCAAACGAACAAATAACTATGATAAAAGTGTTTCTATCTGTTTCAAGTAAAATATTCAAATTATGTATTATGCACTATTTTTGAATCGAAAACAATAGAAGTTAAAATTTATGTTTCATAATTAGAAGAATTCATAATCTGTGAACCATCACAAACCGTGGTGCTAAAGAGCGAATCTTTCAAGGTGTCAAATTCTGTTTTCAATGATCTTATACCAGTGGATAGAAGAAAATGTCCTATTTAATACCCTAAAAGGATTTGTTCCCATCCCTAGTGATAGTACTCCTACTATGAGTACGATTTTAGTCATAATTCGTTTATAAGTACTCATATGAGTTCTACTAACAACTTTTGAGTATTTTTACTCAGTGAGTGCACTTTGTTACTATGTGAGTACTCAGAAAATATTTATTCACCATTTTGTTTTGCAAAAATGAACTGTATAAAGAGTGTAGAATTTAGTAAAGAACCATAGAATATTTATATGATATCTTGCTCACTGGTCTCTCTGTATATAGCCAAAAGTTATATGCGTACTCAACAATACTTTAGCATGCGTACTCAAAGTCGTCCCCACAATACTCATTACTCGCTCTCGAGTACTCATGTGAGTATTCAATGATTACTCAAAATGTATGAGTACGTATGAGTACTCGTCCAGTTTTTCCAGTCGAGTACTTTTTGAGTACTCACGCATGAATACATTCATTAGGAATAGTACTTCTTTCAAGAGTTACGAATTTTGTATTGTTTCGCTGGGAAAAAAGGTACAAAAAAGATCGGTAAACAATCTTACCAAACGAGTATAATGATGGAATACCTGTTATTGACATAGAGAATCAATTACATCACCGAAACAAACAAACAAATTAAATAAATTATAGAGAGTGAGGAGAGAAGATAGCTTGTTTATTAGGAAATATTAACAGGACCACATATAATTAACCATAATAAACGAAAAATGAATTGAAGAAAGAACATGAATTATTTGGAAAACATGGTTTTACTTGAAAACAAGGAAAATTCAATAGATTATTTCTAGAGACGCTGAAATGCTCTGATTCTTTCTGTGATGTAGATAGCCTACGAGAACAATCATACAAAAAACGAATTTCAGCTCAAAAATCGCTATTTTTATTGAGATACAAAAGTTTTAGTGTATTTGTACCTGTTTTCCCAGCGAAACAAAACAAAATTCGTAACTCTTGAAAAAAGTACCATGAGGACAAATCCTTTTAGGATTTTAACTATGACACTTTCCTTTAACAACTGGCATAAGATCATTGAAAAGAGAGTTTGATACCTGGGAAAGTTTACTCGTAAGAGATTTTAAAACGTGTTCGGCTTAGTGAGATAAGTACTTCTGACTGAAAACTCTACGTCATCCCTAGAGACCGTATATAAATGTGGAAGAATGTCTACGGCTCTATCTCTTTCGCGACGAAAGTATTTAATCTTACTTGTGTATTCCGTGGCCACAGTACGATCTCACCACTGAACATCCATTTGCAGTTGCATATTTCTGAATTTCATTTCCAACATCACGATATTTTGTGCCAGGTCGAACTAGTGGATAGAGAAATTGGTGATAGAAAGAATAGACGAGACATATGTACAAAAACCTACTTAATTCAATTGCTTTTTCCAAACATCCATATGCTGTTCGAACTAAATCTTTGGCTTTCTCATCTACTTGTCCAATGAGAAATGTTTCATTTAAATCGCCATGATAACCACGATGATAGACACTGACATCAACTACAAAGTAAACAACATTTGCATTACTTGATAATAACGACATTTGTTCATAAAAAACACATTCCTTCTTTAATCCTTTGAGTACGGGCGATGTGAATTCGCGTCCTGAGATTTTGCGCTCTGAATAGCTTTCGTAAATATTATGCATTTGATTATTCAATGAAATGAATGACCTAGTTTTGTCTGCTGATCTCAAATACGCTATTAGTGTTGCTTGAAAATATATGGGGAGTGAAAAGGGCGCAAAATAAGTGAAATAGCGAAGGTTAGATATGAGTGTGTAACCTTTCTGGCAAAAGTTTGACCTACGTTTTTTGAAAGCATAAGTTTCCATGATTATGATGTACATTCAATGCAAATACTATAGTACAAAGAGCGAGCCTTAGTTCGTTACCCTCGCTCTTCTACGTATGTTTCAATCGTGAGTGCTCGTCCTCAATGAATTCCCAGAACCACACAATAGCTAACCTTCATACTTTGATTGGCTAGTCTGCAGACACTGTAGAGCCTTTGGTGCGAGTCTGAAGACAAAATCATGCTCCCAAACGGAGTTGTGAATTTTTTTCGCAAAGAATTTCGAATTTTCAACAAAAAAAGTCAACCTCGTCCGTAAAATAGCTGTATTATACTGACTCCTAACAGCCAACGGATGAAATTCATATCGTGGATAGAGTAGAATCGTGGCTGTATTTTTGTACAACGAAAAAATTGTCATCTCTCTCAGGTCAGGAACTATTAGTACTTTACGGAAGAATAATAAATCGCTTATATCTTATGAATCATCCAGTAAAAGAGGCCCAGACTTGGTAGGTGATCAGCATTCGGTAAGACTCTATGATCACACAAAATTAGAAGTCCCTAGCTATCCACTTTCAAGTGAATAAAAGAAATTTTCATCCTTCATATTGTATGCTCTTTATTGATATAAGTATCCAACGAAATTAACTGTTTATTACCAACTATCAGCACTAATGTGGAAACATACTTAAAGCCCTTTTGTCTACAGACAATATATTGTTCACTAATTATTCATTTAACAATATAAATCTGACGAAGACTAAACTTACTCACTATTCAAAATATCACCATTTTGTAACGGTCGTTGGTCAGGAATACCGTGACAAATAACTTCATTCACCGATCTAAAATTAGACGACAAAATCAAGATGATTACAACAAACAAACAAACAGCTCGATAGTTGTCAGAAAAATTTCATTTTTAATTGATTTAATTTTTCCTCCACAAAGATCTTTTTTAACATTGAAAATGATGAATGTTATTTGTACCCAGCTGTTGAATATATATCATCGCTGCTACTTTGTTTCTCTCTCTCATATTACACAAGTTTAAATACCCACGTGCAACACGATTTTGGAAAATTATAGTAATTTAATGGACTCGGATAACACTCATGTTCGATACAAGCCTACGAATAAGAACAATAAGTCGACGAATGTGAAGACTACAGATAAAGGATCACCTACTTCATGTACGATTCGATCAATTTCATCTGTTGTCATACCGATACGTAATGCTCTAGCTGCTTCATCTAATACAAGACGACCAAGCTAGAATAAAAGAACATGTGCTGATAGCATCAAAATAATACTAAAATTTATTCATAAGCTATTTTTATCAAGAGCATCTTTTTATTTTCTATCAATTACTAACAAATTCCGAATTTTCAGTATAATTTGACTTACACTGTTTTGCTTACTTTGCATGTTATTTTCAATTGTTCTTGTTCATCTTCTGTTAATACTTTAATTGCTGAGTTTGATGATTTTTCAACTTCTTCCGATATAGATCGACCAACATCATTATCAGCATAATCGGGACGACCGATTGTCGATGGCACACTACGAAACGGAGACTAAAAACCGCCAAAAAAAGAAATACTAACAACAGAATTTAAAATGGTAGCTAGAATCGTTACCTGTGGATAAGGTCTTAATTTTCCAGTAAAATGAAAACCAGGCCACGGATTATAAATAGTTTGTCCATCAGTCTGTATTTGTTGTTCTAAATAAAAGCGAAATAACCATTTTTCTTAGAGTTAACGACAATATGAACAAAACATTAGCTATACGATCATTCGTTCAATTAGCAATAGAAAATGTTTTAAAATTGTTTCATATTGAGAAAAGAATTCCGTGCTCCTTTCTACATATCTGCTAATCCTCACAGATGCTCAGTATTCACGTTTTTTTTTCTCAGTATCGAAAACCAGTAAGAACAATCGAAAAAAATCAAATATCCTCAGACGTTTAACATGAAAGAGAAAAAATGTCGTATGATCACTCATTTACTATCATGTGAATTGTTCAGTTAGATAATACATACTTGCTGCTGAATGAAGTTTTTTATGTTCACTCCAATAGCCTTTAAAACATTCTTGTGAACAAAAATATGAACCATTTTGTACACCTAAGAAGAAGTGATGAAATGAAAAGTTATTGTGTAGCAGAATTAGTAGACGTACCTAATTTGATACAGTTTGGACATCTTAATTTTGCTTTTTCATCACAATTGGGTGTATCGCAGAAATGATCGTTAATAAATGCAGATGACGAAGGAGGCATGGCAAAGGCTGTTGCCATCTAAAAAATAAACCAATAGAAAATCGACTGTATCAGTTGTAAAACAAATTGTTTTCAACATTTTACTGTTGAAAGAAATTAGTAGTAAACGAGTTCCTACAATTTATGACACGGCATGAGAGCACAAAAAATAGAATCGTTATTTAATAGAGATCTTGTTGAATCATCGGAAAAAGAATCAATGTGTTTTGAAAATGAAAATATGATCGGAACGTTTAAACGTTATTTAAATACACTGGAAAACTAAAAAATGTAGCGTGTATTAAATTGAAGATTGATTTTGATTATGTAAGAACGAAAGATGTTTTTCTAATGAAGCAAACAATTTAACATTGTTTATGGAAGAAAAATATAACTACGTCGATATGTATGGTAAAACTATATAATTTAAGTAAATAAGTGTGTCTATACTCTAAAACGATAAATAAAAGAGCAAAATAATCAACGTTATTTAAAACTGTTCATATGAATAAAATCAGCTCTAATTCAATCGTACATAAAAATGATCAATTTTACGCTAAATACGAAAATATTACATGTGCTCATTATTATTTTTTTTTTAAATAAGAAGAAAAGAAAAAGTACTCGAGTACTCGGATGAAAACCTGTTTTACTGAAAAAATAGGAATTCAGAAGAGACTGATCGATATTCTATCATCGCACGATAAGTTTTTCGACGACAATCCCATTATTTTTAAAAAAATTTGCCCTCGAGTACATACTCAAGTAAAACTGTTGTGTACTCGTACTCATACTCGAAAAAGTGCGTACTCGCCCACCTCTGACTGGTTAACGAACGACTAAATTGGCTGTAAAGTACAACATTTTTTAACTTCAAGAAATAAATCATTTATTAAAGAATCGCTCCATGATAAAGTTTCTGGTCAAAAAAAGGGAAAAACCGCAAAAAACACGCGTTAGAATAAAAAGAAACTAAAAATAGGCTATTAGCTGAATTACAGATTTGCTCATATCACGATGATATTTAAACTAAATTGCTTCCTAGTGAATTGGAGTACAATTTATTCAGTAACTCAAGTCAAAACTTATTTAGTTCTAGCGAGCGTTTATTGATCTTTGTCTGGCTGAAATCGAGACAAATGTTGAATAGGAAAACAAATAGATCGTTACTAATGAGAGTTTCAAGCAAACTAGTACACTACCCGTGCACTGCGACGGCTAATTTGGTTAGTTCTTTTCAGCTTTTTTTTAAGAACTTTCATCGAACGAATTTGCATTGCTAACAAACGAAAAGTGGACGACATAAATAAATATTTTCTATGTGATTAGCGTTTGCTGTTTCGATTTATATTTAGAATAAGATAAACATAATTGCATTTATCCCTTTGTAACAAACTAAATTACTGGAGAAAACAGACCAATAAGATACACTCTGTCAGCCTTCATGTTGCGTACAGAGACACTTCTGCTTTTTGTATACTAGTATCTATAAGTACTCTTATCCCCCCAAAACATGGTTCCCCACGTTAAATATTTCGTCAGTCGCTCTTAAACTGTCGCGTTTGTTTCCTAACTGTCAAAGGGGTTTTATAAAGGACGCCCTGGCCAGCCATCTCTGCTACCGAAGTGAAATTCCGTAACGATTTTTTTGCATTTTGTTTTTCTTATAATGTTTGAGTAACGAGACGCCTAGAAATCTAGAATATCACAGATTAAAGAGAAAAGTGTGCTAAAGATTCTGAGATGTTCTTACAGTCTACACATTCTTTCATTCAGAAACTATGAGAAAAATACAAACACCTACTTTCCGGGAAAGTACGGAATTTCACTCCGGTGGCAGAGATGGCTGGCCAGAGCGACTATATCTTTTCTCAAAAAACTTTCGACTGAGACTCTCCCTGCTAAAGACATAAGAGAGATGGAAAGTAAGGAAAATACTAGGTTTTTAATTTTTGAAACTGGGAACGAAAACATCAGAAAAGAAAAGCGAAAAATTTCTGTTATGAGATATCATTCTAAATATCTCTTCTCTGTTCTTGTAGGAAATTATAGGATCTGGTCAGATTTTTTGCCAGCAGCGGTAGAATTGATAATCCGCTCTTGCCCCCTGCATTCACGCCTGGTCTAGTATATACCATTGTAGTAATCTATAATTCTTTATTTTTTTCATTCATCTCTATGTCTACTGTTGTGTTACAAAAAATATCGCAGAAAGGTCATACTGCATATAAAGAACAAACAATGCTTTGTAGCCTAAAAAATAGTGTTTAAGTTTTAGTCCTTTATAACTTGCGATGTAAGACCATGTATAAACAAGTCACGCTCATCTTTGATTCACTAACCCTTGACTGAAAGATCCTGGTGCTAACGGACCCGACATGTACGGTGCGCGAAATTCGCAACTTACAGAAAATGATTTTTGTTGTCTTCGGTATGGTTGAATAAAACTACTCGAGTTATCTACTTAAAACTCATTACAAAGTCATTACGTGTTTTTCCTCCTCGAATGTCAATATGTCGCTAATTTACATTTTAGTGGCGTCAGGTGTCACTACTCTGCTATTGCACACGGACGGATGAATGGACGGATATTTCGTTTGTATGACCCAAGACTTTCAGACAAGGGAATAAAGCATATCCAACAGTCCGTCATTGCAGATCGCCACGAAGTTGGTGCCAGCAGATAAAATATGTAAAATTTAATTTCTGACATATTCGCTGATGGTAGTGTTGTAACGGTTGGCAGTGACTTGTTCGTTGATGTTGATTAGAATGTTTAGTGTTGACGCGTATCTCTCCGTCTGCTAGCTTGTCTGGCTTGCTCGTTTTGGGGATATTTTGAGGGCGTATTTGTTTCTTAGATGCCAGCCAGAGTTAGCTTTTTAAACTTCCCGAGGGGAGCCAGTGAAAACTAGTTGTGAACTTTCGGAACAAGTAATACGAATATTTTCCTCATTTCGGATTTTCAAACGATCAAAAGTTTTTCACAATGACTTCTAGACGTATCAAAATCAGTTTTAAGTAGATAACTCGAGTAGTTTTATTCAACCATACCGAAGACAACAAAAATCATTTTCTGTAAGTTGCG